CTACGTGACTGATCAGTGACAGAGGCTTAGCGCACGCAGATAGCAGAGATCCTCTGGGCTACAGAGAGAGCTGGAGGGGAGTGAAGCATGTTTTGCGATGAAAAAGTAGCTGCCTACTCTGCCAGCTGCCTGCTGTCATTGGCTGGATGTGGACGTCGAGTCAAGTCGGCCAACTCCGCCATATTTGGCATGCTAGATATCTGGCAGAGGTCAGCGATGTGTCAGAAATGTGTCGGGAAGCCGTTGTTAAGTAGTTCACAGATAACGACTGGCGACTGGTCGCCGAGCGGCAAATTGGGCTAAAAATCGTGTAGTGTGAACTAGGCTTAATATTACGTCATCTTTACCTCTCAAATATACCAGCAGTGTATTGAAGTGTGAATACATTTATATATGATATATGAGATTTATTGTATATAGGCCTACGTATTGCAATATCTAACTAAAATTATCTTTTGACTACATCACTGTGATGTTCAACCACAAATATCAAAGAGCGAAGAGACACCAGCAGGGGATAAGTTCAATGATTTATTGAAGAAAAGTGCAGAAAGGTAAATTTGGTGAGCTGAGGCAGAGAGCGGGCAGACAGATGAATCTGAGCTCCAAAATGCAGCACAGGACTGGCCGGCAGCGTCTACACACGGGCAGAGATCTGAGTCAAGGCACAAACACAAAAAACTTCTTAGTTTTATGATTTCCTGTCTAGTTAAAATCTGTGTTCATTGTTCACAAAAGGACCACACACTACTTTATTCTGTTATTTCTCCACTTAACTTTTATTATGCAGTCAATTAAAGGCTAAATTGGTGACGAGTAATTTGACTTGCAAAATAAAATGAATGCAGTGTTAAAGGATATCAGAAGCTTAAATAAATAGATAGCATAAACTACGTTTAAGTCAGCTTAGATGATTTCAGTTTCCTCTGAAACAGTAAGCCTAATAAATCAAATGACACCAAGATCATATTCTGGGTTATTTAATAGGCCTAATTAATAGGCTACACAATCATAATATCAATAAATACAGATGCAGATAATCAATAAATAATATAAATGCATTCTGCAAGTAGAAATGATCCTTTGCATCTCAACAGGACACAGAATGCACCTATAACAACATGTTCTCATTGTATGGCATCAAATAGGCCAACTACGCTTTCAGAAAGCCTCACAAAGCGTCAGTAGCCTATTTGACGCCCTGGGTTGATAACAGGCTCAGTATAATAGCAGAATGCAGGTTGTTCTTCATGTGCAGGTGTTTGTTAAACAGCTATAGGCTGCAGCTACAGACAGAAAACATGCAGCTCTGCAGTGATAACTGTGAGACTTTTTTAGAATCAGCACAGAGCACGTGTGCAGACAAAAACTCCATCGAAAGTATCTCCTGCTGGTGACAGTTGCAATCAGCTGATCAGACACCAGACGTCCCTTCACGTGATGCTTCAGAGGAAATGATTCTATCATCTAAAAACACATTTCCTAATTTCTTCTCTCCCTGCATGGTTTCCTTGCGTCTCGCATGCATCCCTTTGGGCTGGACTAGGACGCGAGGAAAAGACGCAAGTGAGGGAAATGTGGATGCAATTAAGAGAATTGAGAAGCACCCTATAGCTGACATGAACAGCAAGGAAGGGAACTCACACTTTGGGAAGATTTGGAATGGAATTCACACTTCTCTGCTTTCACAAAAAGTCTGTTCTCGAGCAGCCGCTGAAGAACCTGGTGGACGTGGGAGAAGATCAAAATGTTATCAAAATATACAAAGACAAATCCCTGAGATCATCATTCACTAGGTTCTGGCCAAAAGGCATGACCAACTATTCGTAATGACCAAGTGAGGTCTGAATGCTGTTTTCCACTCATAGTTCCTGTTACCTGTAGGTGACTCTATGACTAGAACTGAATATTGGCATGTAGATTATCACGCATGTAATCTTTGGTACAGATTTGTACAGTGAAGTTATGACCACAACCGGTTTACTGGCGAAGCATGGAACTTCACAATCACGCCGTTGAAGGAAAACTCATAAGCTTTACAACATGACATCATCGATGTTAAGGGTTTTCTGAGATAGTTTTGAAGTAGATACAGCCAACCTGCAAGAAGTGGTTCATCACTTCCTGGTGCCAGCAGGCGGCGCTATGACTGTGAGTGGACACTGGCTTGTAGATGTGTTCAGGCCGGGACTCTAATCGAACTTGTAAAGTTTGTTACAAATTTGAGCATGTACAGCGAATTTACAACAATTTCTGGTTTTATGGCAAAGCATGGAACTTTGCCACCACATCAAATGGCAATGCTACTTATGTGTAGGAATGAGGACTGTTCACCAAATATACGGTTCGGTGCAGACCTTTAATTATGGAGCTACGATTTAACTTCATTAAATTAGTCTAACTTGCAGGTGTAATCAATCAATCATGACTGCACCAGAATTGTCACATAGCTGGAAAACAATAAAATAGGTTCATAGTGTAATATTTACAATATGGGTCTACAGCTTGCAATAACTTGCACTAAATCCAGTGTTTTCCACATTTACTTTACTTGCCCAGGTATATTAACAGCTGCCAAAGTATATTTGGTGAACCATTTTAGCATTTTGCAAAGAAACACAGAGAGAGAAATTATCTGGTGTTACTTTGTGTTACTGTGGGCACGCTGACTGCCATCTACTGCAGCTACGACACTAACTATCAATAAGCACCTTATTTAGCTCCACTTTAAAAATCCCAAACTTTCCCATCAAGATAATGGAGATTATAATGTACAAATTAAATGTTGATAATTAAACAGAAGTAGTCAATACAGATGCTGGTTCTTACAAACTTCTACAGAAAAATATCAAAAGATGTAAATGAAGACACAAAAGGCAAACCTATCTATAACGCTTCTGAGCTCATTTTAACAGGGTTTTGATACCATTCAAAGGTTTAGGTGGCACAGCACCCAAGCCCAAAAAGGCTTGGGTGCTGTGCCATTAATGTAAAATAAGTTGTAGACAGCTTCAAAACTAACTAAATGACTTTCCCTAGATGTAATGGTGTTAGTCGGTCCCCAGTGGACTTCTTCAGCAAGTTTCGTCTTTAAGCCTTTTGGCTGTTTACGTGCTCAAACTTTTCCAACTTTTTGCACACAAACATGGTAAAAGAAATAATATGCAGACTTTGTAAGGTATTCCACTAAAGCTATACTAACACACAGTGACTGGAAATTGGATTGGCATTACTGTCTTTAGTAAAATGACTTTTGACCAAACTGTATTTATGTATGTCACTGTATTTCTAACTAATAACAATATAATGTAACATAATATGTGTAAGCAGGTATGACAGAAACTGTAGTAATGTTGAAAAACATGTGACCTGTGAGTTTCTTTCATCATCTCCTCTTGAAAAATACCAAAATAATTGTAAAACATTTTTTTATGTTAAGGAACGCCATCATGCTGCCAACATCCTGGTTAGTCCAGATCATCCTGTGTTTCTGACTCAGTGAAATTCCATCTCACTTACCTTTCACTTTTTGTTCACATGCAAACATTGTTTTGTTCACTCGATAAAATGGTCTTTGACTCTCTTTATCCCGCTGTCCATTTTATTTATGAACATCTATCTTATTACTGTTCTTAAGAATTTTAAGCAACATTACGGCAGCATTTAGCTCCACAGAGCTGGAACACATTTACAGAAGAAATACACTGTGGCCTAAACTTAATAACCTTTATATCCAGATTACAAACTTTAATGGTCTCATTGACTAAGACTCAGCTTTAGCACTTACATTGTCCACCTCCTCTCCACCAGACAAAAGTATTTTTCTCTTTAGCTTCTATATCTACTTAAGTAGTTCCTTTAATTGGACTTGATGCTATTTATGCGTAGGAATACAGACGTTCTACTGTTGAGAACATAAAGTTCCAAAGGAAAATACTGTCTGATGCAAAGAGCTGATAATACTCTACATATAGCGTAACTTTGAACTGATATCGATTTTTTCTGGTCGGCCTTCTATCAGGAGGCTAAAATACATTTTGCAGCAGACCCTGTCCACAGCAGTACATTAGTTAGCTCCTGTGCCGGTGCAACTCTCTGCTTCTCCAAACTGTGGGCACGCTGACTGCCATCTACTGCAGCTACGACACTGACTATCAATAAGCACCTCATTTAGCTCCACTTTAAAAATCCCAAACTTTCCCATCAAGATAATGGAGATTATAATGTACAAATTAAATGTTTGATAATTAAACAGAAGTAGTCAATACAGATGCTGGTTCTTACAAACTTCTACAGAAAAATATCAAAAGATGTAAATGAAGACACAAAAGGCAAACCTATCTATAACGCTTCTGAGCTCATTTTAACAGGGTTTTGATACCATTCAAAGGTTTAGGTGGCACAGCACCCAAGCCCAAAAGGCTTGGGTGCTGTGCCATTAATGTAAAATAAGTTGTAGACAGCTTCAAAACTAACTAAATGACTTTCCCTAGATGTAATGGTGTTAGTCGGTCCCCAGTGGACTTCTTCAGCAAGTTTCGTCTTTAAGCCTTTTGGCTGTTTACGTGCTCAAACTTTTCCAACTTTTTGCACACAAACATGGTAAAAGAAATAATATGCAGACTTTGTAAGGTATTCCACTAAAGCTATACTAACACACAGTGACTGGAAATTGGATTGGCATTACTGTCTTTAGTAAAATGACTTTTGACCAAACTGTATTTATGTATGTCACTGTATTTCTAACTAATAACAATATAATGTAACATAATATGTGTAGCAGGTATGACAGAAACTGTAGTAATGTTGAAAAACATGTGACCTGTGAGTTTTCTTTCATCATCTCCTCTTGAAAAATACCAAAATAATTGTAAAACATTTTTTATGTTAAGGAACGCCATCATGCTGCCAACATCCTGGTTAGTCCAGATCATCCTGTGTTTCTGACTCAGTGAAATTCCATCTCACTTACCTTTCACTTTTGTTCACATGCAAACATTGTTTTGTTCACTCGATAAAATGGTCTTTGACTCTCTTTATCCCGCTGTCCATTTTATTTATGAACATCTATCTTATTACTGTTCTTAAGAATTTTAAGCAACATTACGGCAGCATTTAGCTCCACAGAGCTGGAACACATTTACAGAAGAAATACACTGTGGCCTAAACTTAATAACCTTTATATCCAGATTACAAACTTTAATTTTCTGCATTGACAGTGACTCCAGGCAAATTTATACTTTGACAAAAGCTCATTTGGTCAAACAAATATTCCATTTCTGGGGCATGTCATATTGAAGGAGGGCCTGCCCAGATCACCTTACTGCCTTCGCTGAAACTCCTGCCTCAAAGACATGGCAGCACTACCTCCTGGGCTTAACTTCCTGGTTCAGCAAGTTCCTGCAAAAGTATGCAACCGAGGTTGAACCACTTCGACAGCTGCTATGAACCAAGACAGTGCTTGACTCACAACGTAACAGGACTTGTTGGGAAAAAATACTTTTATTAAAGCTGAATTTTTAAGTTTTTGCATGCTTGCAAAGTTTTATTAAAAAGCTCTTGCTTAATTTCTCCCATATACCCTTTAATATAAAAGAAGGGTAGTGTGTCAGTGAGTGAGATTGTCTTTTCTCAATCGTTTGTAAAAAGCAATATACACTTTTTTTTTTTAGCTTTTTGCTGAATAATATTGTGAAAATATTAAGATATTGTTACCTCTATAATACAGCAAACAGTAGAGTCAGATGATGTGTGGTAATTGAAACAGTCCAGCGTGTCCAAACAGGTGTGCCCCTGCTCTTTGTCCTCTTTTTTCTTCAGGAGAGAGAAATGTTAAATCTCTTTCCCCCAGCTCTCTAATGAAGTCATCCGCCAGGAGTTATCTATGTTGTCATCCTGGAGTTATGTTAGGCCTGTCATGGTTCAGTGCTCACCACCTGCACATGTCCTCGTACCTGTACAAACAAGTACTGGTAGTTAGAACAATCGCACCGCCAGCCCCGGCATGGGGGGCAGGGGAGTTGCCATTGGTAAGGGGTTCAGTAACTTCTTTGGCAGGCTCTCCACACAGGCCATATTTGTTGTTAATCTTAGTTATCCTTTGGGCCAAAAAGTTTCCTTTTGTCACTACATAGTTAATATGAGGCTTATACCATCGGAATAATTTATCAATACGTAAGAAGACTTCAAGGGTTCTATCTCGTTCTCCCCACTGGACCACAAAACCGGTGCTGAATTAGGTCTCCCATTCTTTAGACATGATGGGGTAGCCTTTATGCTGCTCCGGGGCCCCCTCCCTGCGTTTTGAATGACAGAGTTGTCCTAGCACAATCTAAGAAGGATTCTGGGTCGTAGACTTTGAGGTCAGTTTCTACACGGTAGAGTTCTTCAGGCACAGACCCGCACCACTGTGTGTTGTATATCTATTTTGAATCACTCAATTCTTTACAGACTACTGACTTTCTGAAGTCACACCACGCTTTGGCCGAAAAAAAGAATGCGCGGCGTGTCGCAAGAAACAACTCATCAAGCTTTCGTGTATAAAGATGTTCTCTGCTCAAATAAGTATCCAGGCATCATAAAATCTTCCACAGCCCATTTAAACTGAGGCCTAATGATACAGAAAATCAGCCAAGGTTGTAGGGGCAGTCATCTTTCTAGGAGCCATACCCAATGCAATAGGATCTATGATTATATGGCATTTTGGAGTTGTTACTACTGATTGATTACCTGCATTCTCCAAAGCCATGATTATGACAGGATCACCGCAAAAATTTAGATGTAACTAAAAAAAAAATAAATCTCCGTCCATTGTAGCAGTCCAGATACACCCCAAACAGTCGGCCGTTCCTAGCGCTCTGTCTGATTGCTACTTGGCCAAAACTATCCTGCTATAACTATAATAGGGCATTAAAGCCACTCCCAGACCACAACATGCTCTCCCTTATTATGGTGTAATACAATAGATTAGGTGAACAAGAAAGGGCATGTCCTAAATGTTTTGGTTTCTTTGGCACACCTCATGCATGACTGTTAGGCGCACATACATGCGCAATGCAGTGCAGAGAAGAGAAACTGGTTTACAGGATCGTCCCCTGGAACAGGAGGCTACTGGCCCGACACCACAAGCAGCCTGCAGGACCCCTGTTTGACATCAAATGTCTGCAGCAGTCTGTGTGTCGGCTTCATCTCCCACACTGTGAGATCCGCTCCACAGGTGGAGGTGAGTTCTTGTCAGTCGCTCATGTGAACGACGAGGGCATCGAGTTTATCGGCCCTCAGAAGATCACAGAAACTCACGTTGTTATAAACATCACAGGGTTTTCTGGTTTCGGTAATGTCAAGGATGAAGACTCGCCGGCTGACCCGGTCCGAGCGCTGGTTCTGCTGTTCTACAGGCCCCCGGCTGATCCCGACGCTGAATCCCTCCTCAACGTGTTGCTGCTACCGAGGAACGTGGTGCTCCGGGATGTGCTGCGCACCAGGAAGAAATTAGTTGGAGATGAGAGCTACATAGAGACGTCCCCACACTGTAAACTGCAGCCAAAGCAGGAATACACACTGTCCACTTGTCCTGCAGAGGACTCAGTTCTAGTTCAACCAACAGAAGCAGAGTTTGACTGCGACAACTACGACAACTACTTCCCATCATTCCAGGTGATTTTAGAAATAATGAGGAAACACGTGAAGCTGTTTCTGAGAGACACCAACAGCTCCCACAGTGTCTGGGAAAGACGAGTTTGTCTCACTGGAGTAAAAAGGTCCTGTGGGCCGAGCGCTCTGAATCTCTCTTCAGATAAGAGGCTGTTGGACATACGGAGCAGCTTCATCGAGGGGATATCAGGACCGGTTCTCACAAGTCTGCTGGACAAACTGTTTGAGAAAACGGTGATAGCTGAAGCTGAGAGGGAGTCAGCGGACGAGATGCAGAACAGAAGAGACAAAGCTCGTTTTGTTATCGACGCAGTGAGGAAGAAAGGTGAAGCTGCTAGTTCAGAGATGATTGAGTTCCTCTGTGAGGCCGACCCCTTCCTCTGTGAACATCTCGGCTTGATCTGAAGGCAAATCAACAGGTGATGCAGAACATGTTGACCTGGTGGCCAGAAACTGATCATCCTGTAACTCCCACAAAATACTTTTAACTGGATCATTCACTGTTTTGATCTTGAGTAGTTCGCCTTGACTTATTGCTTGAACTGTTAAATTACAGTTTTCCAAGTAGGTTTTTTATATTTGACAAAAATATGGGAACCTATTGTGAATCCATTGAATGTAAATCAATTTAGTTTGGTTTGTTGTAATTTCTAATGTAACATTTGTGGCCAATTGTTTCTATAAATGATTCCCTTCATCAACTGTACAATATTTTTAAGAACCATAGATATGGACAGTTTTAAAAAATATTTTTTCTTACTTACTATATACAGTATCTTGACTGCAGTCCCACTTTTTATTATCTCTTATCACCTGATTCTGACATGACTCACACTTTATATTCGATTTTAGTACACTTTTCATGTTTGTTGTTTTTTTATTTAATTTTTTTTTTTTTTTTTATTATTGTATTGCTTTCTGTAAGGTCCCAAAAAGAACAAAAAGAAGAATGTTTTTTACGTTTTTATGGTGTTATAAGGCTGATTGGGCTGGGCCAACACCTGTGTAGCTCTACTGTCAGAGCTTATTTAACCAGGACTGATCATTCTGTCGTTCTCTCACTGGGTTTGTTCTGTGTTTTTTTTTGGTTTATCCTCACAACACTCACATACATCTCATTCATCCGTTCACTGCTGACACAACTGATACTCATACTTTGTCACACCGCGTGTCTTTGATTATTTGACATTACTTTTATAATAAATCATATTATTGGCTTGCAAACTTACTTTTGTACTCTGACTCTGCAGTCCGGTCACATTTACTGCAGATGAGCTGTGGTGCAAGTGAAACAACAGTTTTTTCAGCCTAGTATTAAGTGAATAATTGAAGGCGAATAATTCCCCTCCTGGAGATCTTTACTGTCTTATTATATCACACCTTAATTTATCTTATCTTGGTGTGTCAAAATAAATGTTTATTTGATGTTGTACCTGCCTGCACGGACGGTTCCATTTAAACACAACTCACTGCTTACACTCAATTACCAAATTTCCAACACACTCCTAGCAAAATTTTACACATGTATGGCTAACATTAACACTATTTTGCCAACTGTCTGGCACACTTTCACATGTGAAAACTGTTTTAGATAATTAGTTCACTTTGCAATCAGCCTAAGCACTATAAATAAGCCACAGGTAAGCTGTCTGTGTGGAGTACAATGGAAGGAGCAGTAAGAGTGAGAAGAGTGAGAATCATAGGAGGCCGAGGAGGCCGAGGGAGAGGACGTGGAGGTGAAGAAGTTGGAGGAAGAGGACGTGGAGGTGAAGAAGTTGGAGGAAGAGGACGTGGAGGTGAAGAAGTTGGAGGAAGAGGACGTGGAGGTGAAGAAGTTGGAGGAAGAGGACGTGGAGGTGAAGAAGTTGGAGGAAGAGGACGTGGAGGTGAAGAAGCGAGAGGGTTAGAGGAAGAGGACAAGGAGGAGCAAGAAGAGGACGAGGAGGGGAAAGAGGAAGGGTAAGAAGAGTAAGAAATAGAATAACTGATGACATCAGAGCTACAATAGTGGACCATGTCATCAACCATGGGATGACCCTGAGGGAAGCTGGCCTGGTTCAGCCTAATTTGAGCCGCTACACTGTGGCAAGCATCATTAGGACATTTCGAAATGAGAATCGGTAAGTACTTTGTAGCACTGCCATACTCTAATGAGAAACACAACAGTACCATACATGCAAAAATACTGAAATTGTTACTTTACAGAATTGCTAGACGTCCACATGTTGGGGGCAGAGGAAGAATGTTCACTCCAGAGCAAGAGACCCATATAGTGAACATGGTGATTGCCAATAATGCAATAAGACTGCGCGAAGTACAGCAGCACATAATTGATAATGACACCATCTTTCAAAATATACACAGTGTAAGCATTTCTGCACTAAGTCGTGTACTTGCGCTCCACAGAATAAGAATGAAGAAAATTTACAGAGTTCCTTTCGAGAGAAACACAGAACGTGTAAAGCAGCTGCGATATGACTATGTGCAGGTAAGCTATAGTGTCATTGGTTCTGAATTTGGAAGTGCAGACTGTAGTGCTGTGCATGGGCCTGATGTGCTGCATTTGTTTTGTCTTGTCCAGAGAGTGATGGAACTAGAATCATCAATGTCCCAGGACAACGTGGTGGTAACATAACCATGTGTGCAGCTATAAGCCAAAATGGTGTTGTTCACCATCATGCAACCATAGGCCCATACAACACTGCACACATTATTGCATTCCTGGACACCTTACATGACATGCTCACTGTTCAGAGACCAGAGTAGACCCGATATGTCATCATATGGGACAATGTTAGTTTCCATAGGGCTGCTTTGGTCCGCAACTGGTTTACAGACCACCCATTCTTCATGGCACTCAACCTCCCTCCATACTGTCCATTCTTAAATCCCATTGAGGAGTTCTTCTCTGCCTGGCGCTGGAAAGTGTACGACCGTCATCCTCATCAACAGGTAGCCCTTTTACAGGCAATTGAGGAGGCATGTGGAGATATTGACCAGGCATCATGTCAGGCCTGGATACGGCATTCAAGGAGATATTTTCCCCGGTGCCTTGGACTGGAGGATATCGCATGCGATGTGGACGAAATTTTGTGGCCGGACCCAGAAAGACGACATGATGTAGGCTGATTGTTTTTTATTTATTTTTTTTGTGAAATTACTATTTTGTGTTCTGACTTTGTCTTGGTTTTGATGAGTGTGAATAAACACCAATACTTTAAGTTTGGATCCTTGTATGTTTACATGACACTATGACAAAAGTATGACCTCAAATTGACATCTGTACACAGAGAAAGCAAAAGCCAGATGTGTTTTGTATTCATACCATCAGTGTGTAGTTGGCACATTGTGTGCTTAGTAGATGATGGCTTGTGTTTACTGTTTGATGCGAAAACACCATTTTTACGAAGGTGTGAAGAGTTAATCTAGCTGTGTTCGCTCTTGCAAGAGAACTACAATGTTTTGATAATTGGGTGAAAGGTTTTCTTATTTGTGTGTAGAGTTTTGCAAAAATAGCCAATAGTTACAAAAAATGTGCTTAAGCAATCAGAAAAAACTGTAACTTCAATATATGGTTTGTCCCAGAAGCCACCGCGCACAAAACGCTTTATCTCAATGCTTGGCCGTTAAAAAAGAGGTGTCAAGTGTACGTTATGTTATTTACCATACTATACTTATATATTATTAGTATAGTGTATTTCTACTATTATTCCTGCAAATATTTATTTATAATAGCCTAATGATAATAATAAAGCAATGTTTCAATTCATACCACTGTTGTATATTTTTTTCTTCCAAAGCGATTTTAAGTTTCACAAACCAAGAATAATAATGTTAATGTAATGTTACATCACGATTTAGGTTAAAACTTTATAACATTACTGAGAATTTAATGATAGAATAACAGCGGTACGAACTTTAACACTAACTAACTATTCCTGACAGCCCCCCGAAGTATATTCCTCTTACCCCTAACCATCAGAGGGCGTATGCCTAAAGTTATTGATTATATGCATGTCGACCGGTTAACCTCCATTGTGTTGCTGTTCAGCCTCCGGTAACGTTACTGCAGCTTCTCAACTCCGAAAACGTTTGAACACATTTTCGATTTGCCAATTTTCGTAAAACTGCCAATATTCGAAATCTACACAGTTGATTTCTCGCCTAAAAACTTCTCAGAAGTGGATTTAAAGTTCTGTTGTTGGCCTCTAAAGAATAAAATGCATTAGGACCTTTACTGTACGTGAGCCGAGATAGCATCATCACATTTTGTGTGCGGTGTCTTCTGGGACAAACCATATTTGGAAGTTCAACTTCCGTCAGCTTCCATCACGTTCGTCTGCGGGCTGCAGCTGGATATACTTGCCGGCGAAAGTCGAAGAATAAACTCTTTTCTTCCCACTGCTTCTGCCCCCTTTCCTTTCATCTTAATTTTTGCTACTAGACATTTCTACACTGTAAACTGATAAACCATCATTGATTATGTCCCCCACCTTAAGGTTAAATCTGAATATAACTGTAGTGGTGACTTTCTGTATGTTACAGAATTTCTATTTAATGTTTGGAAAATTCTAAATAAACTCCTTATCCTTGTTTTTATTTTCAAATCATTTAAAATCTAGAGTAGGAGCAGGATGTACACTGTAAAAAATGATTCTGTGGTCATGTAGATTTGAATTAATGTATTCGGTAAAATATTTTCAATATGATTTTTGATTTTGAGGCAAATATTTAATTAAATTTCAAATAAAAATGTTTGGAATAAAATCCACCCATTGTAGTTAAATAAAACATAAGCATTATATTTATTTAATCCCAAATAGAGAGAATATTGAGTGAATTCAAATTAATGTAATCAAGCAAATTTTAATTGAAAAACACTTCCTGTCAAATAATGCAGATGTGTTTTATTTAAACACACTTTTATTGCATCCATCTGCTGTCTCTGACAATCTGAAAGCGTGTGTTTGTTGTATGGTGAATTCTCCAAAATCCTGTTGGTCATGTATTGATAAAACATTTAGAATTGTAAACACTGGTCAGTCATTATTTCAATGAAACCCCTACCAAGATGTGTCGATATCAAAAGTGATGAATATATTCAAACAATATAAAATATCATGCCAACAATAAACATAAATGGCTCCTACAAACGTATTTGCATATTTGCAGGAACATGAAGTAAATTTAAATTGACATATTCCAGCAGAAAAACCTCAAAATATGAGGTATCTTTTCTTTATCTCTAAACTGTTTAAACTGATTTAAACCTGAATGTAATAAGGAGGATAAAATGAGCAAACCATGTGGCACTTGATATTGTGATAAATAGTTATTTACTTATCTTAAAGATATTGATTTTACAAGTCAGCACCATCACAACGTTACGGACAACATTTCCCTGCATCAGCTAGCCTCTAAATCTCTGCAGGTGAAGCCCTGAGTAGTCTGGGTAAATATTTAAATCTATGACTGGATCTGTGTGAAGGAATAACCAGAAACCATTAGAGACACTGGGTTTGAAACACAACTGGGTTTTATTGGTAAATTTTACGTCATCACAGTTATAAAGGTTAACAAAGTGAGAGAGAGGGAGCTGCTGCACCAGTGAAGAGACATGCTGGGCTTATTGAACAAAATCCATGAACCAATTTTAAACAAACGATAAGAAAATATCTAAATATCTGGTTAAATGCTGCTAATTAAGAAGCCAAGTGAGAGGAAAACCTAAATGCAAATCAGAAATGTATAATTAACTAGTTGGAGATATTAAATCATTTCACAGTCTAGCCTATTTATATAGACATACAAAGAAAACCCAAACATATCAGGATGCCACACTAACTATTTCCTTGGGATCAGGCAGGGAGGAAGAATAAAAACTGTCCAAGCTCATATTTTTAAGCACCCAGGGCCTATTTTTTTAAACAATAAATAAAATCCATAGGCCTACGAAAGTGTATGTGTGCAGGTGGTGAAGATCTGCTGGGTGAGTCGAGGTGAGAAGGCCGATCTGTCTGTGCGCGGTGTCTCAGTGCGCTCTGTGCGCCTGGCAGCACAGTCTGTTCACTGCAGCGATTTCACACACAAAAATTATATATTGAGAATTTACTGTTTTCGTGATTCCACTGTCTGCCATTGCTGATTCCCGTGTCTGACTAATTTTGCGTGAGCGCATGAGAAAGGATGAGTGGAAACTCCATCCGTGCCTTTTTTCCGCCAGAGGACTTATTGCTTTGATGTAGCACAAAAATAAATTATTAGGCTATTATTAATAAAGAATACAATTGTTTGTTTTTGAAAAATAAGAGTGACTGCTTGCATTAAAATTATATACACAAAACAACTAATAATTTACTTTCTGGGTTCAGACAAATGTTGAAAACAGTCGGTCTCGATTGTCGAAGGTGCAGTTCACCCCACAGCTCAAGCAGGTGTGGACCAGGGGAAATGCCATTTGCTCTGTGCAAAAAAATAACATGAATGCTTGTGAAACCGAAAGAAGAAACATGAGTTGGTGGCACTGATGCCTACATGCAGTCAACACACTTACACGGAAGACCTAAGTGAACTGCGGATGTGTTTTACCGGGTCCACCTGAGAAACGCTGATATCCCCGCTAAAGTAAACCCGCCGGCGTCCTCCGACCAGGTCTGATTCATGGAAGGACAACGTCTGTCCAAGAGGCCGGCAAAGACACGCAGCGACCCAGAGATGTAGCCTGCGTTAGACTCTCCTTATTGGTAAGTGGAGAACGTCCACACACACACACACACACACACACACACACACACACACACACACACACACAAAGATTACTTTAGGGTGTCATTTCGTTTTAAAGCAATCAGTCACAGTTTTTGGGTTCTTGGTATTTTTGATTTTGCTGTTGTTGTTTGTGGTAAGACCTTCCTCTTGCGTCTCATGTGTTTTGTTCTTTGTCTCTGTGTTGTGTGTTCTGTTTGTCATTTGTTCATTTGCCACTGTTTTACTTTGAAGTTGCTGTGTCCTTGGTGTCATTTTATTGTCTTATTTCCTGTCTGTGTTCAAAATCTGCATGTACCACAGCTTTTCAGAGTGTGTGTGTGTGTGTGTGTGTGTGTGTGTGTGTGTGTGTGTGTGTAACTCAGGCAAAGGCTGCTGCACTGAAGCAACACACACTGGAGGTGTTGGATTTTTAACCACATATAAACTGTTGGATAATAGATGATAGTGGCCTCTACATGGCTCCTGGCAGCAGTTTCTGTAATAAAAGCAGACAGAAATGCTCCATGACCATCACGCCACATAAATGCATTTTACAAGTATAGAGGAGTAAACTGTAATTGTTAATTGTACTTGACATTATCTTTTTTTGCTCACTAGCCTCTGTTGCTAGTTGTTTTCCAAAGTTACTAGCCACACAGCATTTTCAGCCACATTTATGTTGTTGGGAAATTATGTTTAATATGATTAAAGTTGACTATTGTGCTAAAATTTACTTGAACTAAATTTGCAACCCTTTTAAATGTAGATAAACACTGTACCCAAATCAAGAATACATAAATTGTATAACTTCAGGTCATTGTAATTAGCTCTGATTAGGTTGTGTGTAAAGCGCCTTTTTATGAAAACATCTCGGCCTAGTCTATGAAGATTAAAACAAAAAAAGTAGCTTCTTATTGCATATAATAAAAGTGGTGCATGGTTGTAGAAGGTTAATTGAATATAAAAACTAAACTGGCATCAAAACATTATATTTATTTACAACAGCAGTAAATACTGTAATACAGAAAATGATCTGCAAGCGAAACAAGGAGCAAAGATGAACAAATTCTTTTTGTCCAACTGACGGCTTACGGGTCTTTAGGTCGAAGGGACTGTGGTTTGATGACTCAACTTATATATTCTCATTTCACAAAAGTTTTGATGTCATATTTGGAGCGCGCACCCTCGCGCTGGGACACTGCAGCAAGAGGGTGAGACGCGCTTGACATGTGGATTCTCCTGCTTGATATTAAAAAAGCTTGCTGTATTATCGCTGGTCAAGTTGACACTTAACCGTAGGCCCTAAAGTGTCATTTATACTTCTGCGTCGAACCACCTCCTCAAAAATGTAACTACACGTCAAGTCGATGTAGTCGATGTAATGTATAGCGAAATGACTTGTTTTACTATCCGAATGTGATCCATTCGGTTGATAACATTTGAAAAGGCTACATCAGCCGCACGTATACAATTTTACCCCCATTCACGTTAGCGGAGGGCTAACTGGAAGTTAGCCTGCTGGGCTGAGCTACGCCATAGGCTATGCGCGTAGCCAGGCATTTATACTTGTGCGTCAGTGTCTGCGTCATTCAATTCAATTCAATTCAATTTTATTTATATGGCGCCAAATCACAACAACAGTTATCTCACAGCGCTTCTGCAATTACATCCCCAAACGCTAGTCGGCAGTAGCGCTACAGCGTCCACTGTGTTGACTTTTGGCTTAGGCCCTATGCAGGAGTATAAATCAAGTTTAACAGCCCTCATGCCACTTGGGAATATTTCAGTGCTCCAGAACAATTCAGGAAAAATTCAAAATATAAAGAATACAACAGAATATGATGCAATGATCAGTAGCTTGATTTTTAGCTTAAGTTACATTTTTTGGACAATGCAAATCTCAAAGCATTTTCATTTGTTAGTTAACATTTCTTGCTATTTTTCATAATACATTTATCAAATCCTTTTAAAAAGTGATGGGGAGAAAATCACCCACTTCAAAAAGTGGATTATTTCTCTTGTGTCATGTGGATTTATGCTGTCTTTTGTCTTGTCTTTGTATTTGCACCTGTTTTGTCTCTGGATTACCTAGCCTTTGTTTTTGGACTGTTCACCTGTTTTCACCTGGTTGTTTAATAAAAACTCATTAAACCTTACCTCCATCTTCAGTCCATTCTTACTCCCAAGTTGTCACATAGCCTACGGATGGTCAAGACCCCTTGCTGTCAGTTTGTAACACACTGGGGAGCCCTCTAGCATCATAGTTCAATGTGCTGGGCAAAGCAAATAGTCCAAGTAAGGAAGGTGGTTGGGGTGGATGAGTGGAACACAAGCCAGACTTTCACCAAGAGACTGGTGTTTGTTCCTGTGTGAAACAAAAAGTCAACGTTGAGGGTTTTGTCGTAGTTTTGTTCCTAAACCTAACCAAATTGCAATGTTTCAACAACATACCCTTTCACAACGTTAAACACTCATTTTCTTTTGAACGTCTAACCAGATGTTGCATATTTATTCTACCAATCTGACCATGGAGCTCTACACGTTGAAACAAAATGCTGAACGTGTTCCCGGGGCGATAAAAAGTGACCAAGCCTGAATGTGACGGGTTGGACATTGTAATGATGAAACAAGTGTGTAATTGCTCTAACTTCTATTTGAAACAGAAAGGAACCAGCTTAAGTGAACTGGCTCAGCTTTGTGAAGACTGAAACCTGCTTGTTGGTGAGTGCAGCTTTCATTTGAATAATTGAGCTGCTTCTTGAGCGTGCAAAGGTTTGAACCGGGAAAGTACGCACCAATGTTGAAATGTGTTTTAAAATCTAAAAAAACTTTTTTTCTTTTAAAAGGATGTTAATTTTCCTTTTAGGGTCTGGGACCAGATGAACAACGCAGCAGAAGAACATGTTTTAAAAGTTTCTATTTGAAATCAAGTCGAAAAAAGAAAAGATGGAACAAAAAAAGAGGAAAACTCCCTCTCCCTTCTCTGCAGGGTATAATGTAGACAGTTGTAAGAAGGCAGGTGACACACCAAAAGGAAGAAGGAAGGGTTGAATGAGGATGGAAATGAATCATTAGACAAAAAAATTAAAACTTCCTTCTCAGAGAATCAGACTGCAGAAGAGAAGTATTCAAAGAAGCATAAGCTGCAGAGCAAAAGTGTCCGCAGAAGGTATCGTGAGGTTTCCGTAGGTTCTGCCTCTCCCTCTAGCTGCCGTAAATCTAAATCTCATCACCTCAGACAACAGAACATCAGCTCTGCCCAGTCTGTGCATGATACTGTCAGACATCAATCTCAACGGTCTCGTAAATCAACTGGCCCATCATACATCACGCCTCCCACACAGTCGAAAAGAAAAAAAAAAAAAAAAAGAGGAAAACTCCCTCTCCCTTCTCTGCAGGGTATAATGTAGACAGTTGTAAGAAGGCAGGTGACACAGCACAAGCCAAGAAGGAAGGGTTGAATGAGGATGGAAATGAATCATTAGACAAAAAAATTAAAACTTCCTTCTCAGAGAAACAGACTGCAGAAGAGAAGTATTCAGAGAAGCATAAGCTGCAGAGCAAAAGTGTCCGCAGAAGGTATCATGAGGTTTCCGTAGGTTCTGCTTCTCCCTCTAGCTGCCGTAAATCTAAATCTCATCACCTCAGAAAACAGAAGATCTGCTCTGCCCAGTCTGTACATAAAACTGTCAGACTTCAATCTCAACGGTCTCGTAAATCAACTGGCCCATCATACATCACGCCTCCCACACAACCACTTTCTCTTCAACCCGTTACTCAACTGCCTGAGCCCTGTCTGCAGCAGCAAAACACAAGGTGAGGTGGGGGAAAACACAGATGAGCTTTTACCCACAACAACAGCCCATCATGACCCAGACATAGAACAATATGATACGAGTCTTCCATTTGAACCTTCACATGAAATGTTAGACAGATCATATTTATGGAATGCCTCCATTTCAGCACCACAACGTTCCCAGGAAGGAGTGTCCGAACATGACAGACCCAGGATTCATTACCTTCCCTACTTTTCCAATCCATCTATCCGCACTCCCTTCTCTGCTGAGTACACAGGTAGTTGTAAGAAGACAGGTGACGCACAACAGACAGGGGACAAACATGTTCGCAGTTTGCCTCGAATGTCTTCCTCAGCTTCTGCCTCTTCCTCCTGGAGTCTTCATGATGATAGCAGGCATATATCTGGGATAGGTTCTAACCCTCCGCTTCCTCCTCCCCCACTACCATACATGCTCCCCTTCCTTGCCCCGTCTGTACGTAATAATGCTAGACTTCAATCTGAACTATCACCTGATTCATCACGCTTCTACAATCTCAACAGCTTGAGACCTGATCTCAGTTCAGCACCAAGAACAGCAGACTGCTACTCGACTATTGTTGGTAATAACATGTTCTCACTGAGTAATATAACTTATGGAATGATAAGGACACAGGCTGACAGGTCATCTGACCTGTTAAAAAACATCTATGGGGAGTCTAAACCTGTTCACACCTCTGCAGCAGATGCTACGCCGGGAGTCAATCAAGATATTACCAGGGAATTGATACAAGCATATGGAAAAGCTCATTTTCTTTCAGCTCCATCACCAGTACCAGACCAGATATTGCAGCTTCCAAACAATAAAGACACAGAAGATGGTGGCCCCAGATTTAGTAACTCTAGTTTTACTGTATGTCCACAAAACAGGCCTGCAGTCCTCCAGGAAGACGAGTTGGGAGATGACAGTGATGTCCTGATGGAAACATCTGTTCCAGCTGTGAACTGCTCAGTCACAACACCCAGCCGACTCATCCTCCCCTCCAAACCTCCTCCAGCTGTTTGCGTCGTTCTCACAGCGTTCCCTCACTGAGTCAAACAACCTCCGCAAAGAACAAGACCTTCACCCGATCAAAGAGCTTACCTGACCTGCTGTTCAAACCCAGCTGTGAGGAGTTCACCCCTGATATCACTGTTGATGAAAACGATGAAACCTACAGGTTCCAGTGCTCCTGCCCAGGCCTGTACCAGTGCAGTGTGACAGGCCTGCTGTTCCACATGGAGGGAGAAGGGGACGTGGTTTACAGGATCGTCCCCTGGAACAGGAGGCTACTGGCCCGACACCACAAGCAGCCTGCAGGACCCCTGTTTGACATCAAATGTCTGCAGCAGTCTGTGTGTCGGCTTCATCTCCCACACTGTGAGATCCGCTCCACAGGTGGAGGTGAGTTCTTGTCAGTCGCTCATGTGAACGACGAGGGCATCGAGTTTATCGGCCCTCAGAAGATCACAGAAACTCACGTTGTTATAAACATCACAGGGTTTTCTGGTTTCGGTAATGTCAAGGATGAAGACTCGCCGGCTGAGCCGGTCCGAGCGCTGGTTCTGCTGTTCTACAGGCCCCCGGCTGATCCCGACGCTGAATCCCTCCTCAACGTGTTGCTGCTACCGAGGAACGTGGTGCTCCGGGATGTGCTGCGCACCAGGAAGAAATTAGTTGGAGATGAGAGCTACATAGAGACGTCCCCACACTGTAAACTGCAGCCAAAGCAGGAATACACACTGTCCACTTGTCCTGCAGAGGACTCAGTTCAGTTCAACCAACAGAAGCAGAGTTTGACTGCGACAACTACGACAACTACTTCCCATCATTCCAGGTGATTTTAGAAACAATGAGGAAACACGTGAAGCTGTTTCTGAGAGACACCAACAGCTCCCACAGTGTCTGGGAAAGACGAGTTTGTCTCACTGGAGTAAAAAGGTCCTGTGGGCCGAGCGCTCTGAATCTCTCTTCAGATAAGAGGCTGTTGGACATACGGAGCAGCTTCATCGAGGGGATATCAGGACCGGTTCTCACAAGTCTGCTGGACAAACTGTTTGAGAAAACGGTGATAGCTGAAGCTGAGAGGGAGTCAGCGGACGAGATGCAGAACAGAAGAGACAAAGCTCGTTTTGTTATCGACTCAGTGAGGAAGAAAGGTGAAGCTGCTAGTTCAGAGATGATTGAGTTCCTCTGTGAGGCCGACCCCTTCCTCTGTGAACATCTCGGGTTGATCTGAAGACAAATCAACAGGTGATGCATGCATTATCTCTAAGGTTTCTAATAATTCAATCACACAGATCCTGTCAGACTCAGTGATTTAAGTGTTTATCACAAACTTCTCAGGGATTCAGCTGCACAGAGGTTATGAACAGGTTCATGTAAAGATTTAGAGACGTAGAGGACGAGGGGGAAATGTATGTAACTGAACAGCAAACTGTATTATAACTGGTGAAATATCTCCATCTACTGGACATTTGATGTACAAGCATCAAATGCAAATACTCACATATGTCCAAAATGTACAGTATTCAAGTCTCTATTTAGTAAACTCAGTATTTCAAGATTAAGTTATATTCATGTTTGATCAACATTTAACCACGTTGGAGCAAATTTCTACAAAAGAAAAGATTTTTCAGGTTTTGGTTGTGTTTGATTTATTTTTTAAGTTTTTAGTTTTGTTTTCTGTCTGTTTATATCAACAGTTAACATTTGGTTTTCAAGTTTGTTTGCAAGTTTTCCGTCTTTTAAATCTGTTTAAATAACCACATGGCTGCAGGGTTGCAGGCATATGATCCAAAATGTTGTACGTGTACATAACAGGGTGACAATTTCATTTTTATTATTAATTCAATGATTAAAAGAGAGATGACTTTGTGTTGAAACATGATGTGATGGTGATTGATGAAGAGGATTATCTCATTGACACTGAACATGAATAAATTAAAATGATCATTTGATGGTAAAATAAATAAAGTAAGGAAAATAAGGGTAAAGGTTGATCATTGTGAAAAAGGTTGCTGAGTTTGGGTGAAAAGAGAACATCCAAATTACTCAAGCTCAACTCTTTAAATCAGGTTTTGAATATTATACATCTTATCTGTTTTAATTATCAAATTTTAATCAGTACAAGTTCTCTGCTTGTTGAAGTTTGCAATAAAAATTAAAATCACTGCATTTAAAGTACAATTAGTAGACACTAAATGTATTTATTCACCGAGGTAGTAATTCACTAGTGTGTTTAACATCTTTATAGGTTGCTCTAGCCAAAGAAATTAACTTATCCTTGGACCAACTATTTTCCTGGCCACTAAATTTAATCCTGGTAACTATACCAATCTAATGGGCGTGGTATTAGTAGTAAGTAGTAGTAGTAGTGTGTGTATTTATTTATATATATATATAGCACCACAGATCACTTGTCACACCATGATTACACACTGATATTAATGGTGATCTAGTCATGTTGTTGTTAAGGATGTGTAGAGGAATAATTCCTTAGTGTTTTACATGAACATAAAGAGTAAAGTTACTTCCTAAAGTCTCTCTCTCAGTGGGGGACGAAGTGAGTCTGTTGGGGTGAAGCAAGCAGCGCTACTTTAGCTCAGTATGGTAAGTAAGTAAGTTTTATGTGCACACAGGCTACGAGCCTCACAAACCTCTGTTAGGTGTTTTAGGCTGCAACATATCGCACACAGCCTGCACAGAATTCCATATTTACGTTGTTACCAGACAGCTTAGAAGTCCAAGCTCCTGGGGGCCACTGTCCATGGTGCTGATAGACCGTTTAGACAGGGGCGTAGGAGCCACTGTGAACCTGGAGGGGACTTACATTTATTTGTATTATATTTTGTAATATATTGGGTTTCTGTAAATAACATCACAGAGTACGGTCTAGACCTGCTCTTTTATGAAAAGCGCTGTGAGATAACTGTTGTTGTGATTTGGCGCTATATAATTCAAACCACTTCTGCACTAGTACAGACAGCCAAAACATTCTGGTTATTCCATCTTACCCCATGTGGAAAATACCTAAAAAAAAAAATACATTTGATTAAACACAAATTTTTAATTTATTTTACTTTATAATATGTTACCCTAAACATAGCCTTCTTAAAGATTAAAAAAGACCTATAAAATGTTCTTTAATGTGTCAGAAAATAGACATTGAGCTTTGGGGGGCATCTTACCCCACTAGCTGGGAAAATGCTTCTCCTAAAACTAACATTTGATAAAATTCAAATTAATTTGTCAACTGTAGCTATTTATTTTACATTGAGCTTAGGGGCCGTCTCTCCCCACACTACCCTACAGCAGGCTGTGCATCATGCGTAAAGCCCAACAGGACTGTTTTATCCACACATATTCTCTCTCTCTCTCTCTCTCTCTCTCTCTCTCTCTCTGCGCATCTTAAAATGACTGTTGGAAAAAAATGCTGATTTCCATTAAAAGAAGCTCAATGACAGGAAGCAGTTAATATATCAGAATCAATCCAGTGATCATCTGACTGAGATGTTGTGTAGGCCTAATCTACATTTGCTCTGCAGACACTAAATACCTTTTCAATATGCTGTTAATGTAAAGTGAAAAAGTATTTTCCTTGCCGGTGTTAAACCGGCTTGTGAGAGGACGAAGCAGGCTGCTTTCCAACACGGCCAGCAGGGCCATGGTGTGCGCTCACTGGGTTTCAGTTGTATTAGCAGAACAATAAAGTCTGAAAAGATGTTTGCCTGATTTTCTAAATGCTTGCATCTGACCAGCTCGTTCATATCTGTGACAATCGCCCATCTCTTTGTAACACAAAGGAGACCAGAGCTCTCCTGCGTAACTGCGCGGGCACAGCCTGGAAGAAAGCTCATTTTGGTTAATGAAGCAAAATGCACATAACAGAATAAGTAATGAAGGTATGAATGGAAAATGTAGCGAGAAGTAGATTACTGGCCCAAAGACAATAGGCTACTGGAGTAAGAGTATAGTAGGCTACAGGTTAAAAAAGGAACGTGAAAAGTTGCCAAAAACAATTTTAATTTTTTTTATTTTACTCATTTGCTTTACTTGTAACAGCTTACAGGCTACTATCCACCCCTGCTCCTCACTGCGGCCTGCAGGTATAAGTAACAACTTTTCAGAACCACCTCCGCGTTGGGTTTTTTCCACATTTCAGACTTTTTAATGTTACGATGAAACCATCTTAATGTCTCGTTGCTGCTGTTTACATTCAACCCCGACGCACATTTAAAAAATGCACAGCGAATGTTCGGGGTGGACACGTGCAGCCATGGCTAAATAACTAGATTGGTTTCTTTTAAAATTTGTTTTATTTTATATGTTACACTGTTTTAATACACATTTAATTATATGTTAAGTTCTGTAGGTGTAGAATGAAGGGGCAACAAACTTTATTTTCGTTTTAATAGAATGATAAATAAACTCTCATAAACCTTATTAGTCATTCAGAAAATTTCGCACCTTTAGCATTTTTTAAAACTAAATGACTGAAACACTCCTGACGTCACACCTGCTGTCATTTACTAGTACAACCTATGACGTAATTGTCCTTTGATGTGTGCCATCAAAGGACAATTACGTCATATAGGCCTATATAAGGCATTGAAAGCCCGTTGGAGCTCATTTCAGCGCAGACTCCTCTCCCAGCTACACAGAAAGATCCACTCAAGAATCAACTTAACTTATTTCTCACCTTTGTGAAGAAAATATTTCAAAAACTTGACAACAATATTTGGATATAGGCAAAAAATTGCCAGCAAACATTAATTAAAGGACAAATTTCAGCCGACATGCCGATCTTCATGTTGGGTCTGGTTGTGGTTCCCTGGGTCACCACAGCAGCTGATCGACTCATCAGATATGCACTGGGACATGATAGCGCCAGTTCACCCGGGGTTGACCAAGCAGAACCTTTGGTCCATGAATCACCCACAGACATGGTTCCACCTCCAGTCCAGACCGAGCTGGTCCATCAAT